CACGTTTCCACACCACCTTTGAGGTAGTGTACTTAGCGCGTTTTTTTAACGTGGTTTCCCCGGTAGGCCTATTTCACGGATCTGTTGTGACTCTAATTTGAAACTATTAAATAATAAAAGATATTGGCAAGAGTTGAAAATGATAAAAGCGGTGTAAATAAAAAAGTAGGCAAATTTATTCGTCGAAATTATAATTCTCAAATATTTCTGCTTCCTCTTCCAGTTCTTCTTCTTATTCTTCTTCTTCTTCTTCTTCTTCTTTCTTCTTCTTCTTCTTCTTCTTCTTCTTCTTCTTCTTCTTCTTCTTCTTCTTCTTCTTCTTCTTCTTCTTCTTCTTCTTCTTCATCCTGGGTGCATGTAAATTGGCAAAATAGTGATAGGTGCATGTCTCCTCATTGGTATCAAACGAGTCCTCTAGTGTTGATGATTTAGCATTGGAGCACGACCGGCCTTGACAGTTAGTGCATGCTGCAGAACAAAACAGTCCAACTTTTTTACAACCACATTTAGCACTACATCCTTTTTTGCAGTTGAAAAAATTGTGTTGAGCAGTTTTTCCGGCGCAGGTGGTAGTAAAGTTTGAACTTGTTCTAATGCATTGTCGACCAACTTCCAACCCCAGTCTTTTGGGTCTAGCTGATAACCAAGCCACACTTGAACTTGATAATATAACCGTAAAAGATGTTGATGAGCAGCCGCAGAAGTTGGAGGTAGAGAAGCTAATTGTACTTGTTTTTTATTTCGAGTATTTTTAACGAAGCATGCGTATCGAAACTGATCTAAACACGCAGTTTTTTTAGGAGAGAAGGAAGCTAATTCCGTGAGTGATAACTTCTTGTGGAGTAGAATTACAGTTTTTAAAAACTTCAGCACATTTAACTAAATCTTGTTTTTCAAACATTTTAAAAACTGTTGTTTTACCCCTCCTGAAAAATGCAGATGTCGTATCACAGCCCAGTTATTGCGTGTAGAAATAGTACATGATTTTGACACTTTGCAAAAGTTAATAAACTTTTCGACGAATATATTTTGGATTGATGTTGAGATTTTCCCGGCTTTAAAAAACGCCACGCAGACAATTGAATAGGAGACAGATGTTGTTCAAGGTTACACTGGCGTATAAAATGAGGGACTGGGTTTCTTTTTACCTGATATTGGGTCCTATGATTGAACGTTTACGTTATCCGTAACGTACATGTTAGGCTCAGTTTTAACAGTAATTAGGCAAGTTCGTATGATGAAAAACGGTTTCCAACACATTACTGTTATTTTCCGCCTGTTATGTTCTAATTTAACAGTTTTCCATCATACAAACTTGCTTCATTACTGTTAAAATTCGACTTAACATGTACGTTATGGATAACATAAACGTTCAATCATAGGACCCATTCTCATATTTATGATATTTTATTTTTGTATAAGTTACACTGACCGATAAAATAATATTTTGACTTATATTACAGCTTCAGTGATGTATATACGTAGTGCACTTATACATATTACGACGATTCCAACTCTTCGAACTTTTTGAATTGTTATATCTAGGAAACGGTGTCTCTTAGGAAAAAAAAATCTTAGAAATTTTTTATAGATAATTATCTGCTCTACAATTTTGATCTGAACTAATTTTGTGATAAAACTTACCGTTTTGCTGAAAATCGCGAAAAACCCATTTTTGTGACCTTTGACCCCGAGTAAATTTTTTTCCAGGTGCCGGATTGATAAGAACTTTGTAGGTTTTATTTATAATGGTGTTTTGAACAATCCTACCAACTTTCAGCCAGGTGTGAATTTATGTAACCTCACTTGCATTTTTGGTCTAATTTGACCGGAGTAACATTGCACCTTAGAAAGTTGATATAGGCATTAAAAGTATCCCTGACCTTCAAGTTAAGGATTGAAGAGAAACAGCAGCTCTCCTTAATGAAATAAATTTGCTTTTCCATATTGGTCCCAATGTAGCTTTTTTAGAACTGGTCTGCTGAACCAAGACTTTGTTATGCCATTAGTTGTACCCACCTGGTACACACTGTTTTTAATATCATTTACGACATAACTAATCCACCTAACATTAGTCTGCTGGGCCAATGTTAACTAAAAGTCCCATATTTTTAAATCAGGTAACTTTAATTTACATGATTTCAGATAAAGATATTTATAATAGGCTACGAGAAATTCATATTAGTTGTGGTCATTGGTCCAGCCAAAGATAAAATTATTAGCTTCATTCTACAAAACTGTTTTATTCCAAGACATGTGTTGAGTTAATTTTAAAATCTTGCTAGGCAAAAAATAAAACAATTATTGTTAAACCGGTCATCTCAAAAAAAATCTGATGTGTCCAACACATGACTTTCCTATCTAGTTATAATTGGCTTTTTCCGGTTATTTTGTACAACCTATTGCAGCACCTCTATAAATGTTTAGAGACTAAACTAAATGTTTACATTTCCCACATACATCTAATTTGAAACATTTTTCTATAGATATTAATTGAAAACGAAAATACTGAAAAATTTTAATTTAGCACTTTTCCTCCAATTTTTCCATTACGGTCCATTTTAGAAAAATCATGTAGAAACAAAAATTATAAAGATCGATATCGTAAACAACTTTTAGTTTAAAAATATTCTCAAAAATCAGAATTTTGCACATTTTGTTAAATTTCTCGAATACGGTCCATTTAAGGAAAATTTTCTATAAAACAGAGAAATTATGAATAAAACAAGAATTATAGAAAATTATATCACAAATAAGTTTTATTTGAACAATTTTCTTAAAAATATGAAATTTTACATTTTGTAAAATTTCTCGAATACAGACCATTTTAGGAAAAATTTTTATAGTACAAAAATTATAGAGAATAATACAAGAAGTAACTTTTATATAAACAATTTTCTTCTCCAAACAAAAATAACCAATATATTATATAAAATATAAAAAGGACCCTCTATAAAGTACCCCCCACATATTCCGACTCTGTCCAAAATCTAATCATTTCACCTCACGCCGCAATAAAGCTTACGTTTAAAATTTAATGTGTTTTTCTTTATCCGTTTTTGAGTTTTCTTTAAAATTCTAAATTTACACATTTTCTCAAATATCTCGAATACGGTCCATTTTAGAGAAATTATGTATGGGACAAAAAATATAGATAAATAAAGCCACCTGCGATTGCACCAGGTTGCACAAATGAAGTAAAATAGTTTTTTTTAAATATTTCTTATTTTATATATAATTTTAATTAGTAAAGTTGTTATGTTTTTTCATTTTATTTATAATTTTTCTGCAAAGCAACGCGTGGGGCTCAAGGCCACACAGGTTAGGTAACTAGTTAAGTTTATTTTAATTTGAATACTTGAAAATATTTATATTTTCTTTCAAATAATTTACATTTATATTTAATCATCTGGATTCATGTATGGGATTAGGGTACCCCTACTGTGATAATACTTTACCGTCTATGTTCATGTTCGTTCTATTTTTTTTAAAGTATTAAGAATGTTATTTTTAAGCTTTCAAGTTTAAAAACAGCAATAATATACAAAATCGTTTTACGCTAAAATTGTGATACAATAACAAATGAAAGATCGCAACATGCTCCCAATTATTGTTGTTTTCTTTCGTATTATTCAATCTTTGTTACGTTTGAATAATTGCTTTCTCAATCGTTTGAACTTTCAACTAATCGATTTTTGGACAAATTAAATTTTCGATCATGTAGACTTTTTATGTTTTTGTACTTTCGACCATTTATAATTGCGATCAATTCGATTCGATCATTTATCTCTTCGACCTTATGACTTTCGATGTTCTTTCTGCTCAGCACAATAAATTTATGTAAACGAAAATAAAAAATTTCTACAAACACATAGATATTAGCTTAGCTACGCACAGACTACAAAACGAAAAAGTATGCTATTGCGTTCAACTGAACGAATATAATCCATATCCATTCTAGGTAGTGAGCAAAAAAATTAAATCCACCAATCACAGTTCATATGGTGGGCACCCTACTACTATTATTTTTAAAATTTTAAATAAGTGACAATTCTGTCAAACTAATCGTCAGTATATTTTTTAGTTATTAAGATTAATGTACATTTAAATGATTTATTTTTGTGTAGAATCGATAAATAATGGCACTTTTTTAAATATCTATATCTTGAAAAGAAATTAAAGTTTAATCAGACTATCTAAACATAATTATTTAATTACGAGTATTAAAACTAAAATTCCAAAAGTAGCGGTGGAGGTGAGGACAGACCGTCTGCCTTCCAAGCGAAAAGCCCGGGTTCGAATCTGAGCTGGAGACTAAATTAAATCTTTTTTTTTTCATATTTATTTTATTTTATAAATTGGTAAAATTCATAAATTACTTTAAATTTATTAATTTTGTCTTAATAACCGAAAATAATTTTTTAAATTTGTAGATTTTTGTTAGTGGGCCGTAGAAAAATATACTGTACAACTCGAGTGGATTGTCCATGTCCACTCTTGTTGCACAAAATACTTTTTCAAAATCAGTAACACAAAAGAATTTATTAATAATTAAAAGTTAACACAAAAGTTTTACCTGTGTTAACTTTTTGTGAGGTACTGATTTTCAGAATTTTATTTTAGTTTGTGAAAATGGCCTCTACAATTTATATAATAAGTAATATATATTTATAAGAAATATAGTTACATCTAGCACAAACCTTATATAAATTAACGTGGAAAATCGCTAAGGACCCAAAGAGCAGTTTTTCTTCTAGATTTTATCTTTTCAGAAGCTAGTAACTTTTTTCTAAGTTGATATCTCTACTTTTCTTACTGACTTCTTATGTTGGCCACATATTCAGTAACTTTTTAAAATTTACTAACTTTTTCGGGTATGACATCACCTCTTATTTGTCAACTGTCATATCTGTCTCTAGATGATATCAACATATAGGGTGTTCCCCTACTATTTGTTTTGATATCATGTATTATGTTAATTTATGTTTTTTTTTTTGTAG